TAGACTGTACACCTGAAGTAACTTGGTATACAGCTTTTCATGAATTGAAGTAAAGATCGCTGTCTCACAACACAATCATTAAAGGGGAAAAGATCAAAAAGATGATGAGTCCGTAGCTTTGTTAAGTCCCCAAGCCTGTTTTCCAGGTCTCAGGCTCGAAAATGACATTCCCAGGACAAATGACTATAACTTCACCTCCAAAAGGGGTAAATTAATTTTTTTTTTTCTCAAAGCAATGATAAACCTGTGAGTTGGATGTAGAAGAGTCAGAATCAATATAGACTTTTTTTTATTTTAAAGTAAATTCAGATTGAACATAGTAAAAAAGAATTAATTATAGTGTCCGTCCAAAAGTAAAACATTACATATAGTGAAAACCACCCTTGAATGATGGGATGGCAGACTAAAAGCTTTAGGAATCCAAACTATAACATATAATAAGTACCCTGTATCAAGATTGATGCAAAACAATTGACATTTGACCTTTTTAGAGAGGTTTAGCAACAACAACAAAAACACTTCTGGCCCCTCTCGGTCGATTTTGATGATTGACACCTCTTTTTAACCGTAAGAGCCAATAGAATTGAGGGGAAGTTCCTAAAATCCATCTAAATATTACCCATTGGTGAATGAGTGATGGGTAGCCAGAATGCCCAAAACCGGAAGCTGTCATTCACTCTAGTAGCTATCATAGCAGCTATGAAAACTCCGTTATTGACATAAAAATGGAATGATGGATTATCAGTAATCATTTCAAAGTGACACAGACACATTGGATTAACCTTCAGCCGCGTGGGCATGGGGCTTAACAGGTAGGCACAGGGGTGCTTTCAGCTACATGCTAATTTCAGCAAGCTAACATGCTCACAATGGCGAACATGCTCACAATGACAACGCTGATATGCCATTAATTGCATTAATCGTTTACTAGTGCATGTGTACCAACCAAACACGCAGCCTGTTGCAGTTGCTTCTGTTGGACCGAACTATTTTCAACTTTACGCATTTTATTCTATTATTAACTTAACACTGTTGAGTTGCTGCTGTTGTACATTCCCACAACTCATGCGCAGGCCATGACTGACTTACAGCAGGGACAGCTGCTGAGCCACTAGCATAGTGATCGGAACAACGGCTATCCCCACAAAACATCTGGTGAAGGACACAAAGAGAATACTGGGTAAATATTTGTAGATCATATTTCATCATGGGCAACATAAGATCACTGGTTAATGGGAATGGACGAGCTAACTACGTTAGCAAGAAATCAGACGGAAAATCTGAGTGTAGTTTAACGTGCTTTACAGAAACATGACTGCACCTGCTGACAACAGCGTTTCCTTTGATGGATTTCGTGCTGTTTGGGCTGACAAGGATTGCACCGATAGCTTCTCCATGTCTTAACCATGCGTCTTCAGAGGGTCTCTGTGCTGTGGAGAACGTCCTGCCTCGTTCCTTTGCCAAAGAAGCTGTGTCCCTGTGGCTAGAAGAACTTTGATTGCACATTGTTACTTCAACTCATGTTTATATAAAGTATATATTATTTTTTAATTCGTATATAGTGCAAAGTCATGAAACCTTATTCTCCTGGTACTAAAAATCTATTTTGATTGATTGATTGATTGATTTACCATACCTTAGCTTGCCATAGCAGAAAACACAATGTACAGCTGAGGCTGATCATAAGGTCATAAATCAAAGTTTTGAACAAATAAATATAGGTCAAAGAAGTCAGCAACTCTTTTCTAGCTTTATTCGAATCAACAGCAGCACTTCGGCATCTTGCGACCAACATTTTTGAAATTGAATTCCCCATTAAGCCATTAGCCGCTATTTAC